ACGCGCGCGCGCGCGTGTGTGTGTGTGTGTGTGTGTGTGTGTGTGTGAGTGAGAGAGAGAGAGAGAGAGAGGAAGTGTGTGTGTGTGTGTGTGTGTGTGTGTGTGTGTGTTGGGAGCATCACCCGTTGGACCGCTGACAAGATGAACAAACCGCAGCAGCAGCAGCAGCAGCAGCATCGTCAAAACCTCGCCACTGTACACCAACGACCAAGCACCACCACAGACGCTTCAACGTCCACCAAGTACCAACCACCAATGACCAACCACTCCATCACCCCATCAAACCACGCACCTTCATGGCGTTCTTCTTGTACGCCTTGCGGATCTCTTCGGCCGAGGCGCCTTTGTTGACGCCAAGCAGCTTGTAGTAGTCCTTGCCCATGGTTGGTGAGCTTCGGTTGAGCTTTGCTTGTCTGGCCTTCTTGTTGTCGGTGCGACCGATGTTGCGAGTTTTTCTTCTGTCTTCTGTCTGCGCTGTTGTTGGGGGAAGGGGGGAGGTGTCGAACGTCTTCCGCGAGTCTGCGTGCTTGTGAATGCGTCTTTGGTCGTGTTTCCAAGAAGGGCAGTACAGTTTGCAGCAGCTTTTGGTCAAACTAGTGATGTACGATGGTGTTGATACTGCTGATGCTTCTGATGATGATTATGATGGCGGTGGTGGTGAATTGTATGCAACGTCGGGTGAGTCTTTGTTTCTGTGTGTGTGTGTGTGTGTGTGTGTGTGTGTGTTTATGTGGATGTGTGTGTGTGTTTATGTGGATGTGTGTGTTTATGTGGATGTGTGTGTGTGTGTGTGTAAATGTCATCAGCCACCACCAACATAGCGCTTGCTTCGTGGCCTTCTGATGCAACTCCACTTCACTTGACTCAGCCTCCACCGCAAGCCACAACCCCTCATCTCCACAACCCATCCATCCATCCCATCGACACAGCAACACACACCATCACCATCAACCATCACCATCATCCATCCACTCACTCTCGCCGTTTGCTTGCGTCGTCGCTTCCAGAAGCAATCAGCCCAAACGAAAACTGTCCGGGTTTTGTGGTGTTGTTTTGCAAATTGCAGTCTACAGCTGCGCAATTGGTGAATTGACGGGCTTGCCTTGTGTTGCGCTGCTGCTGCGAACCACATGCACACATTCACAAAGGCTGAGCGACCGACCACAAACACGTCATCCATCCATCCATCCTCACCATGAGTGGACCCATCTTCTTTGGCGCGTGTCTTGCGGCTGCCGGCTTCGGCGGTACGTTGTGTGTGAATGTATGTGTGTATGTGTGTATGTGTGTATGCGTGTCTGTGTGTGTATGCGTGTCTGTGTGTGTTTGTGTGTGTGTGTGTGTGTGAGGGTTTGCATGAGTGCTTGCCTTGATTTGCGCTTGCTTTGTGCACCCTCGCTGCTCGAATAACAACACCACACCCTGGTATTCACACTCGCACACATGCAGGTCGAATGCTGCTCCGTGCTGCAAAGGATATGAAGCCTTTGATGGAACAGATGCCCAAAATCGGCAGCTTCAAGCTTCCGGTAAGTGTGTGCCCAATATCACGTTCTCCCTTGTCTTCTTGCGTTGTCTTTCTGCACTCCCCATCCATGCGCGTTATTGTAGTTTCACACACTCTCTCCCTCACACACACACACTCCCCCACACACTCTCTCACACACATGCTCTCTCACACTCACACATATTCTCCCTCACACACACTCTCCCCCACACTCTCACTCACACACTCTCACTCACACATTCTCTCTCGCACACACACACTCTCTCACACACACACACACTCACACTCCTTCGCATACACACATTTCCTGTTGTGCGTGCAGAAATTTGAGATGAACACATACTACAGGGGAGGCTTCCAAGAAACCATGTCGCGTCGTGAAGCCGGCTTGATTCTTGGCTGCAGGTGTGTGACTGAGCCTCTGCCTCGCTCACGAGCACTCGCGCTTGCTGTCGCGCTCTTCCTCGACCTCTGTGGTCCCTTGTGCACTCTCCGTGTGACACGCACACACACACATACACACACGCACACACACACACTATGCCTGCTGTGTCTACGTTTTTGTTTCTCTGCATGTTTGCATATTGCGCTGTCATTTCACACACTCACGATTTGCCTCCTTCCCTCGTTTGCGTTTGCTGTTTTGCATGCTTGCGGCTGCAGCCCAAAGGCCACCAAGACGCGTGTCATGGAAGCGCACAAGAAGGTCATGATTGCAAACCATCCTGATCGGGGCGGTTCCCCGTACCTTGCTGCAAAGATTAACGAAGCAAAGGAGTTGTTGGAAAAGCACGCAAGCCACAACTCCTGAGCGCAGCACTGTCATCCACCAACACGCCTTGTCCTACCTCGTCTTATTAGCCACATCACCCTGCTTCGTTGCTTCGTTGCCTGTTTCTGTGCTCACCAAGTCCTCTGTGTGTGTGTGTGTGCGCGTGCTTTCTTCGCTGCTTGAGCCATGCGATGCTTTGCGTTATGCCTGGTTGTGATGGCCAGCACCGTTGTTGTACAAAGTAAATCCAATACCAATGCAACAAAACCAGCCACAGCTACAACACGGTCTCGCCTCCCCATCGGTCACAGCACACATACACTCCATGGGTCTTCTTCTCGTGTTTCTCAAATCAAAGTTTAATGTAATGACAGGGAAAATCTTAGACAGGTAACCTGTGTTCAAAAAGCCACGCATTATCATGCAGACAATGGAAAGTCGTGAGCGCTATGGTGATGACTTGTGGGTTGTGTGTGTGTATGAGTGTGTGTGTGTGTGTGTGTTGCGTGCCAAGGCAAAAAGGAAGAAAAGAAACAGAGAAAGAGAAGATTGAGCAGGTAGGTTGTCGAAAATGGAATGGAAATGTCATCCGCTTGCCACCCCAGCTTTCAGGGCCAATGAGGCCAAGTCAGCAACGGTCATGGAAGTGCGGAAGCACCACTTGGCCATCTGGTCTGAAGACACCAAGTATTTTGTCTGCGATGGACTGGGTTTGAGCGCACATGATGGGTGGAAGCAACAAGAGCCTTTTCTCCTCCATTGAAGGTGGATACTGGGGTCTGCCGCAACACGTGCGCCACGTACCAGCTTGACGAGGGTTAATGCAAACTTGGCGAGTTTGCCCCTGTCGCCATCGGGGTAAATGGGAGATTGGAAGAGAGGGGAGGATAGAGGAAGAGAGGGACAGAGAGAAGGGGAAAAGAGGAAAAGAGGGAGGGACAGAGAGAAAGGGGAGGGAGCGAGGGATGGAGACCTTGGTAGGCATTCAGAGGACCCACATACACAGAGTCGCGCGGGTCCCCTCATACCACTCAAGCATTTGACGAGACCACAAGACTTACCACAAGACACGAGAGAGTCAACTATGCTTGGAGGTGGGTGACAGGAATCATTTCTTCTTTTGCGGCCTGCAACACAAAGCCGGGAGACACGAACACCATGAGGAAACCAAACAAACTCTGTGGGGACCCAAGCGAGTGCAAAAACGCCACACTTGCCGCACTCGATCAGCGGGCAAAAGCAGTGCAAAACCAAACGCACAGAAGCAAAGCAGAGCGGGCGAGCTCGTACCTGTACGTGCCAACGACGACAGCGTGATCACGCTCATAGGGCTCCAAGCTGAGCTGTTCTTTGGGCTTCATCTGCAAGCGCTTCATCTTTGATACCTCAGACGCGAACACAGCAGCGGGCGGCGCAGTCGAGTCGATGCAGCTCGCCTTGATGCTAATCACAAAGTGGCCACCGTTCTTCAGGAAGAAGTCGGCGTTCAACGCAACAATACGCACCTGAAGCGCAAAGACAGGCCCACACAAGAAAGGGAGGCAGAAGCGGCGGTGCAGTGAGCATACAAAGCGGGAGAACCAGTGATGTCACATTCAAACGGCCCAACCTTGTCAGGTGGAGGGCACGTTACGTGCGGTGGGACGATACGTGTGTTTTGGGGACGGTGGCAGAAAATGTGGGGTGTGATGTGTACGACATGTTGTGTGTGTGTGTGTGTGTGTGTGTGTGTGTGTGTGTGTGTGTGTGTGTGTGTGTGTGTGTGTACGATATGTTGGGTGTGTGTACCTGATCTGGTTGTGCGACATCTGCAAAGATGCAGTCGACCATGGGGACGAGCATGCGGTACTTGTGTGGGTGACGGGCATCCTCGATGATGGGGATGACGTTTGTGCGCCGCTTTGCCATGTTGATGAGATCGCGGCCAGCGCGGTGCGAGAACTCGACGGCGTACACGAGACCATCCTTGCCAACAATGTCTGCGACGTGTGACACGGTGGTGCCAGAGGCGGCACCGAGATACAGCACCTTCGAGCCAGGCTCCATGTGAATGTTGGCCACGCCACCGAGGACGGAGGCGGCCAGCTTGCTCCTGAAGGGGTTCCACACGCGGTACTCGACCTTCTCTGTGCCCGTGCCCTCGGCATCAGGCGTCTCCACGGAGATGCGCTTCTCGCCGTAAACAGACTCGCCAGGGACCGTGTTGCGTGTCACCAGGAGATCCTCCTTTCCGCCACGTGCAACGAAGATGCCTGATCCACACACAGGTTGACACAGGAGCATGGGAAAAAGTTAGGGCACGCACGTGATGGCCGCACACATCAAGCGATCTTGCACGCGAGAATTGATCTTGCATGGATCAAGCATCCAAAATCTCACACCAAGCAACAATATACAGCAATCACTACACGGGGTTCACAAGGGCAAGTGTCACTGACCAGGATGGCGATGGGGCTCAACCATGACCTGCTTCGAGCCTCCGCCACGGCCTCCGCCACGGCCTCCACCACGTCCACCGCGTCCGCGACCACCACCACGACCACGACCGCCACCGCGACCACCACCACGACCACCGCCGCGACCACCACGGAAGCCGCCACGACCGCCGCCGCGTCCACCGCCACGACCGCCACCACGGCCGCCACGGAAGCCACCGCGTCCACCACCACGGCCGCCACCACGGCCGCCTCCACGTCCACCACCGAAGGCCATCTCTTGTGTTTGCTGTTTGGTTGGTTGTCGCAGCTGTTGTGAAAAGAGAGAGAGAGAGAGAGAATGAAGTGAGCAAAGCACGTGGGTGGGAGCGAACAAGGGTGCAGGCGGAGAGGAAAGAAAAAAAAAGGCAGAAGTCACAGCAGCAGAGCGCCCACGAGGCAAGCAAGAAAGGTAAAAAAATCGTGGGAAACGTCACATTCGATGTGGGCTGCTGTCAAATTTGACAACATCACTGTTTGTGCTGTCGCCTCATGGTTGCATCTCTTCATTAACATTGCATCAAATCACTTTGATTGTTGCTTGCGTTGCCCCTTGCTTGTGTGTGGGTTTTGTGTGTGTGTTTGTGTGTGTGTGTGTGTTTGTGTGCGTTCGTTGTGTGCCTTTTCCACCACCCACCAACAAACAAAACCCACACAAAAGGAGGAGGAGTTCGGTTGGCGGATGGTTTGTCTGACGCATACGACGAGCACGAGCAACAACAACAACAACAACAATCTGCACAAGCACTGCTGCAAGGCGCAGCCAGCCAGCCAGCAAAGAGGTATGCACGATCAAAAAGCAACCACCACAAGTCCACCTGGTCGTGTTGGGTGTGAGTGTGCGAGTGAGTGCGAGAGTGCGTGTGAGTGTGCGTGTGAGTGTGCGTGTGTGAGTGTGCGTGTGGGAGTGGGGCATGAAAGGTCAGTCAATATGACGAACACACAGATCACTTCACTGAGATGCACTGCACTGCTTTGTTCACTTCTCAACCACAACCACCAAACACCCATTCAACACACACACACACACATTCACTGTCCTGGTGCCTTTGATCAATCATCTCTGCAGCACGCACACACGCAGAACCGCCGAAGCAAGCCTGCAGCGGTAATCGCCACAATCACAATCACACGACCCTCATCACACAGAACAAAACACCTTGTGTTGTGCCTTTCATGTGTGTTTTGCACGTTGTTTGCCACAGACAGACACGCTGCTGTGCAAACCCCTGACGAGTCCTGTTTTGTCCTGGCCTTGTTCCTCTCTGCATCGCATTGACCGCAGCTTCCCTGCCTTCAACAACCCATGTCCAACCTCCACATAATATGCGTCTTTGTTCACCCACACGTCCATCCAACCACCATCACCACCTTGTGCAGCCCCAAAGACCAACAGCCAAGACGACAAGGACACGAAGAACAAACAACACCTCTTCTTTCTTCCAAGGCGCTCCTGCTTCATCCGCAAGCTGTGACACAGAACCCTGTTCTTCTCCGGCATCATCATGGGACAAGCGCTCTGTGTCGCACCCTTCGCGTCGGCGCCATCGTGCGTCTCGAAGGAGTACGATTCCACGCTGTGGACCTCCATTGATCTCAAGGTTGCCATCGACGAGGCCAACAGCACGTACGCCATTTGCCCCCTTCCACACACACACACACACACAGCATGCGCGCATGCATACTCATGCGACGTACACCTGTTCCTTCACCCTGATCACCGTCTGCCTGCCTGGTTGTTTGTTCACAACATATCTGCTGTCCCTTCCACCTTGCATGCATTCATGCACTTCATGCATGCATGGCAAGCGAGGGTCGGTTTCGGCGTTGCACCCGCGCACGCCCTCCGTTTGGCTCTGCACTGGCCTGTTTTCCTCTCTTCACTTGCCTTTCGACCACTCTTCACCTGTCTTCCGATTACTCTTCACTGATCGTCTCCCACTCTTCTTCAACTCGCGCCACGCCACGCCATTCGCACTGATTGCCCTTTTTTCGCCCTCCTCGCTCCTGCGCTTTCCCTCTCTTTGTTCTGCCTCCTCCTCTGGCCAGGTGTGCTGGCCTGGCGAAGAAAGGCAAGCAGCGCGTCAAGTTCCGCATGGAGGGCGGCGATGACGCCACTGCCCTGCCCAAGTCTGGCTTGTTCTGGCGCGCCGCCGTCACAATCAGGCCCTCGCGCCAGGTGAGACACAGGGAGATTGTGTGTGTGTGTGTGTGTGTGTGTGTGTGTGTGTGTGTGTGTGTGTGTGACCATTGGTGGTTTGCACCCATGTATGCATGCATGCATGTATCGTGGTGTGGATGAATAGAGAGAGCGATGGTGAGCTCGACGAATGCTTGTGTTTTGAATGTCAGTGCACTGCTGTCCTGTTTTGGTGTCGTGGTGGTGGTGGCTATGTCCTGCTCCTGTCCAAGCAGCGCACAGCAGCACTGCTTCTTCTTCTCGCTTGCTTGCTTTCTCGCTCGCGCCTACTCTCCTGATTTTCTTGTTTGTCTTGTTTGTCTTGTTTCTCACACACACGAAACGCCTGCTCTCCTGCTGCGTTGTCTTTGCATTGCGTGTTGGGGGCTATCTTCTGTGTACTTGCTGTGCACCTTTTTCCTCTTCTCTCTTCTCTTCTCTCCTCTCTCTTCTCTCTTCTCTCTCCTTTCCCTTCTCCTTTCCTCTTCTCTCCTTTCCTCTTCTCTGTTCTGCCTTCACCCCGATGCCAGTGTGATGGCGGCGAGGAGGAGGCGAGCGCGCGGCTGCTGTCGCTGCCGGAGTTTGCGCGCACCTACCAGTTTATCAAGGACACGTGCAACCCGAGCCGCCGCCCCTCTGCGCCCTCCGCCCCGTCATCCGCTGCCTCCTCCGGCCGCAGCAGGTGCTATATTTGTGTACTTGTGTATGTGTGTGTATATGTGTGTTGTATGTGTGTGGGTGTTGTATGTGTGTGTGCATGTGTTGTATCTCTCTCTCTCTCTGTCACGACCATGCTCATATGGGGTCGTTGCCATGTTGCGCTTGCACACGCGATTGCTCTCCCGTGCTCACCGTGTCATGCGCTTTCCACGCCAACACCACTTGACAGCGTGTCCACGGAGTGTACAGACAAGTGTGGCGTGTGCTATGAGCGAAAGCCAGACACGGTTCTTGCGTGCATGCACGCATTCTGCGAGTCGTGCGTCTCAGAGTGGTGAGTGAGTGAGTTGTGCGTGCGTGTGTGAGTATGTGTGTGAGTGTGTGTGAGTGTGCGTGTGTGTGTGTGCGTGTGTGAGTGTGTGTGTGATTGCATCATTATTCTCGTGTATCGGTGTGCGCCACCTTGGCTCAGCTCATCACCTCACCCTGTGTTGCTGCCGCTTCGACTGCCGCCGCCCTCACCGCCAGGTCTCACGTCGATGCCACGTGCCCGCTCTGCCGCAATGCGTGAGTGGTCACCAACACCAAGGGGAGAGTGATTGCGGTTCTATTGAGGGTGGAAGGCGTGCTGTGCTGGAGGGGTTGTGCTGCTTTCACCCTGTGCTCGTGCTTATACTTGTGTCCTGGCTGCTGTTCTCCGCTGTTCGTCCTCCCCTTTCCACCCCGTCCTCTCCACACCTGATTCGCTGTGCTCACGCCATTCATTGCATGGCTGCCTTGTATTCCTCCTCCTCTCTGTTGTTTGCCTTTCTCCTCCCCTCTCTTGTTTGCTGTTCCTTGTCCTCCTTCTTCCTCTTCTCCCTCCATGCGTACAGAATCTCGGATGAGAGCGAATGCTTTGTGGACGTGGCGTATCCGTCCCGTGAGGACCTCAACGCGTACCTCATCAGCAGCTTCTTTGACTGATCGTGCATGTGCTGCCCTTGTTGCACTGCAGCTCTTCTTCTCGCTATTTCCATCTGTTGGTGATTGAGTCATCACACGCACACACACAAACACACACACACACTCTCTCTCTGATACTGTTCTGACTCTTTGCCCTTTCTTCCATCTCCTCTCTGTCCCCTCCTCCTCCTCCTCCTTCTTCTTCTTCTTCTCCTGTCCCTTCTTGCTGTCCTTTCCTTTGGTGCTTTCTGTAATGGACTATCTATTCGGTCTTTCCATTTATTGACTGACAGACTGATTGATTGATTTATCTGATTTGAGTGCCCTTCCTGCCTGCCTGCCTGCATGCCCTTTTTTGCCCCCTGTATGTAACATGATGTGACATGACATGATGATGCTTCCCCTTTGCTCTCCCTGCTTGCTTCTCTGTTTTATCTTTCTTTCTTTCTCTTTCTCTTGCCTGTCCATCCTGCTCTCTGCCTTTCTTTTGCCCATGCCTGGTTTCATGCCGTGTGCATGTGTGTGCATGTGTGTGCTCGCAATGCGCACCCTGTCACATGTCATGTCACACATCACACAGCCACAATCCCGTCCAATCCAATCCAACAGTACCCAACACCATAAACCAACACCGACGACAATTTGTGAACATGTTCCATCACCTTTCCCCTTTCCTGTGCCTTTTTCCTCTCGTCTTCGTCGTCCTCCTCGTGCTTCTCTCTGTGAACAAGCCAAGACAACCAACCATGGGTCGCATGCACGCACCTGGCAAGGGTATCTCCCGCTCTTCCCGCCCCTTTGTCCGCACAGCCCCTTCCGTACGTTTCTTCAAGACCAGACTCCCACTGCTCCTGTGAACATGACATGCTGTCCGATATTCTCGGTGGTGATTTGTTGTCACATCACGTTGTACTCGTCACCGTCGTGCTCGTTTGTGCTTGTGGTGGTTTGGTGGTTTGTGGTGATGGTTTGTGGTGCTCTTCCATCCACATCATATCGCTTCATCTGTTTCCATTCTTGCCTGCCAACAAGCCTTGCCTTCTCTTCCTCTCCTCCCTTCCCTTCTCCCACTACATTTTACTTTCCTATTCACACTCACTCACTCATTCTTCTCACCCACGCACTCACTGTTTTCGCTCACTCACTCACCCACTCACTCACACCAACTGACACCGCTCCTGCCGTTGCCCACACAACAGTGGCTGAAGAACCTGTACTCTGCTGACGATGTCAAGGAGAGCATTGTGAAGCTTGCGCGCAAGGGTCACACCCCCTCCAAGATTGGTAATGACGCCGTGCCTTTGGGCTTGAGTTTCTCGGGTTGATCATGCAGCACCAATACCATGTGCATGCTGTTGGACATTGTCCTCAGCTGGGTGGCGGTGCTGTTGATCTGTACATGCCTGGCTCTTGCCGACCTCCTGGCCTGTCATGGCCGTTGGTGTGCGTGCCTGCATAGCAGCACCGCATCAAACGTGAGGCTCTTTCTCTTTCTCTTTGAGGGCCTTTTGTTGTCGTTGTTGTTGTTGTTGTTTAATGTAAGTTATTGTTGTTGTTGTTGTCGTCGTCGTCGTTGTTGTTGTTGTGTCTTGTTGTGTCTGTGTGTTTGCACCTAACATGCTTGCTGTGTGCTGTGGGATGGCTGAACATGATGCTGAACACTGGCGCTCGCCACACCACATCTCCTTCCCCTATCTCTCCTCTTTCCATTTTCTTCCCCTCTCTTCCTCCTCTTCTCTCCTCCCCGCCCCCTTGCCTAACCTTCACCCCCCCCCCCAAAAAAAAATCTGTTTTGTTTCCAGGTGTGATTCTTCGTGATAGCCGTGGCATCTCGTCCACCAAGGCCATCACGGGCACCAAGGTGCTCCGCATCCTCAAGGCCGCCGGCCTTGCCCCCGAGATCCCGGAGGACCTGTACTGCCTCATCAAGAAGGCCGTCGCCATGCGCAAGCACCTGCAGGAGAACCGCAACGACAAGGACTGCAAGTTCCGCCTCATTCTCGTTGAGAGCCGTATCCACCGCCTCAGCCGCTACTACCGCACCAAGGGCGTCGTTGCCCCCAACTTCAAGTACGAGAGCGCCACCGCCAGCGCCCTCGTCGCGTAAACGCACCCATCTCCCTTTGCCGCGTGGACAGCATGATGTGCGCGCAGGCGTGGGCACTGGCATTTTGTAGGGAGACGCAAGGTTGTTGTGGTGGTGACACATAATCATGTCACGTGGTCCCTGTCACCCCTGTCTTTGCACCCCCTCCCTCTACATTTTGTCTTTGTGCTCTCGCTCTTGTGTCATTTCATCATCATCTGCTGCTACTCTGTGTGTTGTTGTTGTTGATTTTGGTTGGCTGGCTGGCTGTGTTGAACGAGCCACGACGTTGGGTTGTTCGTGTGTCTGCCTCGCTTGTTTTATTACATGGCATGGGCGGGCGCCGCAGTTGAGGTCATCAATTAAAAAAAAAACACACACGCAGTGTGCGCAGTACATGAATGGCTCAAATTGAACATGATAGTTGTGAAGGAAGAGGCAGGCTAAGAGTTGCACGTGGGTAGGCGTTGAAAACCTCAGGAAGATACGCATACTTTTCAAACATATGTGTTTCTGACCTGCATCTTTCCATCAGAAATGAAGGGGCTGTAGCTCAAGTGGTAGAGCGCTCGCTTAGCATGCGAGAGGTACCGGGATCGATACCCGGCAGCTCCACGGTGCTCATTCTTTTTTTTTCCAATTCCATCACGCATGTGATGTGCACGACCACGTTCATGCATGCCCACCCCGCCCTTCTTTGGTCGTCAACGACGGTTTGCGACATGGCTCTCGTTTCCATTTGTTTGTTGTACTTTTTGTGCTTCAGACACGGACCCAATTCACCTTCAACAAAACAAGGCCACAAGAGGCGCAACTCTAGAAACGAGAAGCAGGAGCATGCAGCACAGGTTTAGTTGGCCTCCTCCTCCTTGGGGGCATCATAGTCCTCCACAACAAGCGCACCTGCGAACCAGAACGGCAATGTGTGTTGTGTGTGTGTGCGTGTTGTCATGTGTGAGTGTATGAATGGCCAAGCGCGAGACGAGAGGACGGCGGCGCGTGCAATTCATCGAAGCGCATCATGGCTGGAGCGCATGACACGCAAGCTCCCTAACTAGAGGAGACAACGAACACATCAAAACCCACATACACACTCACTCACCAGAGTCAATGTCCTCGATGAGGTCGTGAGGGTGGCGACCGTCAACAGTGCAGCCAACGCTCTGTGCAGTGCCAAGGATCTCCTGCAAAACAGGGCATAACCCAAGAACGTGCAAGTGTTGTAGAGCATCAGAAAACAGCACCAGCGCAGGAACAACACAAACGAACAAAACGCACGCGCTCACACACACACACACACATGCAGGTTCATGGAAACGGCGCTCTCGCTCTCGCTCTGCCTCGCATTGGGGAGCACACAACTGACCTTGACGGTACCGGACATCTTCCTCGCCATGGAGCGGGGGCGCATGATCTTAGCGACCTCGTAGACGTCGTCGTATGTGATGTTGCCGTCGTGTGCGACTGAAGACAAAACAAAAGGCAAGCGAGCGCCACGAGGTGTGGTGAGAAAGAGCGTCGGCGTGCGGGGTATTCATTCGTGCATCATTCATCGCCTCAGGTGAGAGATGGGGGAGAGAAAAGCAAATACACGCCCACATGCTCACACACTCACACACATATACGCTGTTGTGCATCAACAACAGGTGTCCATGAACTCACTGTTCTTCTCCTTCTTGCGGTCGCGGACAGGCTCCTTGAGGGCCTTGATCACAAGAGCAGAGGCGGTGGGCACCATGGCGACGGTGGCTTTTCTGTTGTGTTGGACCAAGCGGTGACAATGTACCGGAGCATGAGGAGGACGCAGAGGAGGAGGAGCATGAGCATGAGCATGAGAACGAACCACAGCAACGAAGACATCAACCCCACACAGCTCGCTCAAAGCAAAAAAAGCACACACCACATACAAGCACGCACACGCACACGTGAATACCGCACACATACACACAAGAGCGCACGCACCTGTTCTGGATGGTCAGCTTGACGGTGACGCGAAGACCCTTCCAGTCCTTGGTGGCCTTGGCGATGTCATCACCGACCTTCTTGGGGGAGAGACCAAGAGGACCGAGCTTGGGCGCAAGAGAGGAGGTGGCACCAACCTCGCCACCAACAGCGCGCATGTAGACTGCACAACAGTGTTGGAAAGCATGGTCAAAAGAGAGGACAACGAGAGCGAGTCACAGTGGGCATGAGTGCGTGCGCGTGTGCGAGAGAGCAAACAACAGAAACACTGCTGTGACAAACATGGAACATGAGCATGACACGATGGAAGGAAAGGGATTGTGCTTCGTGCACGATGGCACCTCAACACCTTCTCTTCGCTTTTGGCTAATGCTGACTGCTGCTGATGACGACACTGTTGCTGTGGCGATAGTGCCAATGGATCTTCTTCATCCCCATCTCATGTGCTGCGGGTGTCATGAGTGTCGTCGTTCATGTGCATGTGCTGCGTGCGTTGCTGTCATTGAGCGCCGCACCTCCCTCGCCTGCGCCCCATTCTTTCATCCCCGCCCCTGCTGTCTCCTCAGCTGTCTGTGATCGCGGCGGGTGCTGGTGTCGGCTCGATGCACGTCCCGCATCCCTCACAACACTTGCGGGTGCAGCAGCGCGCGTGTTGTTTCTTTCAGCCCGCACGGCACCTCGCACCACCGCCGCATCATCCAGCGTACACACCTCCACACCTCACAATCAACAGCCACAGAGCACAACGGCCACCACCAAGCACCACCACTGCCGTAGCAACCACGGGGCTTGCATCGTTGATGGCGAACGCGCGGGCCAAGGGAACTTACGGTAGGCAACCTCGTTGGGGTCAAACTTGGGAGGCATAGTGGCTGCTGTGTTGAGCGGAGGGCTGGCGACGGCGGTGAGCTGGGTGGCTTGGTGGCTCGCACACTTGTCAGGAGAAAAAGGCACATGGAAGGTGCGGTAAAAAATTGCTGAAATCCCCCGCACAAAAATGCAGGTTTGTCCTATCACCTATTTCTAGTCCAGTTACCGGTTCCAACACCACAAAATATCCACCCAAGATGGGGTGGAAGGACTCGCAAGGATGGTGGCGAAAGCGGCGAAACAGTGGTTGGTTGGTTGTGAGAAGCGCTGCAGCGGCTCACTCACATCGACTCCGTTGCGCCGCACCTTCCCCTTGCCTTGCTTGTGGATGCAGGTCGGTCACAACAGAACAACACCAACATCACAACGGACACACTCACACACACATACATACATGACGTGCGCTGGTGCATGTGTACTGGACACCAGGTAAGTGAAGCGCAATTGGGTTGGACATGGCGTCGTTGCCAGTGGCCACAAATGTGCAGGCCAGAGCAACAAGCAGCAAGAGCATCATCGTGACATGGAGCGTGCCAAAGGTGGCAGACATTGTGGGCGGCAGCACCCATGGCGCCCGCAATGCTGGCGCATTCAAGTTCTCGTTCCGCGTGCTGCGGCGACGCAAGGGCCTCGCCGCCTTTGTTGTGGCCCACCAACAGGACGACACGTACGACTCCCACGAAATCACGGGCCTGCGACCAAACTGCGAGTACGAGATTGCAGTGCAGACCTTCTCCACAGGACAGCACCGCGTCGCCGCAGCCAAGGCCGGCGTGCTCCCAACAACGGAGCCAGTGCCGTGCCGCACGCTGGAAGATGTGCCGACAGCGCCCCGAAGTCTCCACGCCACGCACGTGACAACGGACACCATCACCGTGGCCTGGAAACCACCGGGCCGCCTCAACGGCACCCTGCGCGGCTACAGGCTCTTCTTTGACCAGGCAAAGGAGGAAGAGTTCAATGTTGTCGAACTCACCCCAGGCTCCACCTCATACACAGCACGCCACCTCTACCCCATCACACCATACCGCTTTCAGAGTGCGTGTGTGTGTGTGTGTGTGTGTGTGTGTGTGTGTGTGTGTGTGTGTGTGTGTGTGTGCAGGCGCTGTTTTTGTGTATGCCTGAACGTGATTATTGCGTGCGTGTGCATTCTCGTGCATTTGTGTTGTCTGAAGGCATGTCGGCCGCACAGCACAGCGCAGCTCACAGTCAACCCGGTTTTGTGTGTGTGATGGGCAGTTCTTGCCTTTACATCTGCTGGTGAGGGTCCTTGCACGCACATCCTCACACAGCGCACTCGTGACTCTGCACTCAACCGCTTCAAGCTTCAAGGTACCTTTCGTTGTACGCGCGCGTGCGTGTGCGTGTGTGTGTATGTGTGCGTGTGCTGTCGTTGAGCAGTTGTTGAGCAGAAGTAGACGACACGCGCTTCGAATAGGCGCGTTTCATCGAGCACATCATTGTTCATCATTTGCAATGTCCCTGCGGTTTCGGATTGCAAACAGGCGGAGACGACTGGGTGCAGGGTGAGACAGTGGTCGATGATGACGATGATGATGCCGGTAGTGACGTGGACGACGACAGTGACAACGATGCCAAAGTTGGGGCGGTGGTGCGCAGGAACCAAGCAAACGACCCATCAGCCACGCGTGCACCAGCAAAGCCAGGTCCGTTCCTTCACACACTTTGACATTCCGTGCAAAGTGACGATGATGATAACGATTTATGACCGTGTTTGTGTGCTTGTGTGTGTGTGTGTGTGTGCTTGTGTGTGTGTGTGTGTGTGTGTGTGTGTGTGCTCGTGTGTGCTCGTGTGTGCGTGTGAGCATGTGCATTGTGTGTTTGTCGTGGTGGAGTGTATGCACGTATGTGTTGGGTTGCTGTGAGTGCGTGTATGAATGATCGCGTGGACGCCGGTATTGTCTCAGCCCCCCCCCTCACTGTTACCTTGGCTCCTGTCACACTATCACATCAACACCACCAGTGCGGCGGGGATTCTGCGTTGTTGCACCAACTTCTCGCCCCACGCCAAACAAGGTGCAATCACGTGTGTGCATGAGTGGACGTGTGCGACGCGCGCATGTGCGTTTCGGCAAGGGAGCCATCCTTGAATGCACGCAGTCATACAAGCACACAAACACACAACGCATACACAAGTGCATACGCAAATACATCAACAAGTACAAACACAAATACAACCACAACCGTACACACACATACACACAATCCACGCCAACCATCGCACGTACCAAACGCCTGCACAATTGTCCACCAGGCGCCCGCCTCGTCGTCCAATGGGCGGCAAATGCAGTCGTCGTCGTCGTCGTCGTCGCGGCCGGTGATGCGGCGGCTCAACGAAGACGACTGGCGCGCAATGTTCTTCAGCAAGGTGCACCCCTGATTGTGCACAGAGAGAGAGAGAGAGAGAGAGAGAGAGAGAGAGAGAGAGAGAGAGAGAGAGAGAGAGAGAGAGAGAGAGAGAGAGAGAGAGAGAGAGAGAGAGAGGCCTCATGTGGGCGTCAAGCAGTGCCAATGGGCTCGTGCAAACATGAGCGTTGTTCAGCTTACAATGCATGCGCACGCGTTTTCGTGTACACACGTACACGTGTATGTACACACAAACTTGTACTCTCACACGCATGCACTTACACCCACCTGCACACACAAACCCACCTGCACACTCACACACACCTGCACACACCTGCACACCTGCACACACCTGCACACACCTGCACACACACACACCTGCACACACACACACACCTGCACACACACACACACACCTGCACACACACACACACCTGCACACACACACGCGCGCGCGCGTGTCATGTGCATGGTGGGTATGGACAGGATCAGGGCCAGCGCGCCACAAGCCACGTTGACGTCCGCCAGCCAGCACCTCCACAGCTCCAGGCACGATCCGCTTCGTCGGCTGATGTTACACGCACACGCACGCGCAGGTGGGACACACGTTGTTCACACGCGTATGTGTGCACTCTTGCAGCTCATTGTGTACATCTCCCTTTGTATCAGACCCACCACGAAGGATCATAACTCATACATGCATGTGCGTGAATTTGTGCGCGTGTAGGCCGCTGTCGCTGATACCGCCTGTTCGGGGACAACAGCCATCCCCATCGTATGTTCACAGGCAGCGTTGCACCCTTGCTTGAGATGCCATGCTCATGCACAAACTCAAACTTTCGTGACATGCTGGCTGGCACACACACACACACACATACCTACTCACTCACTCACTCACTCATTCACACACATACACACACAACCACACATACACACACATACACACACATACACACACACGCTCGCTCGCTCTCTGTCTCATTCCGCTTGGCGGGTGGCGCAGTGTGTCAGTGCCGTCTGCGCAATCGCGGACAAACACCACGCCGAAGCGACGTGTGCATCCACAGGCAGAAGCGTTCTCATCCCCGTCATCGTCACCTTCACCCTCGAACCACAAACACTCACCAACAGAGGAACTGGGTATGTGTTCATGTTCGTGTGTGCGCAAGTGTTCGCGTGTGTGCGCACACTGTACATCATCGTGTGCACGTGACCGTGCATGCGGTCATCATGTCACGCCTTTGTTGTCTTTTGAAGCCTGATATCCCTGCAACAATTTTCTGCAACTCACTGCTCACTTCGTGCGATCACGCGTGCAATAGCGGGATTGCGGACAGTGTCGCGCGGTGCAGTCACAAATGAAAGACAGCCAACAACAGCAGACCAGGGTGTGTACTCTCCTGCTGCATGATTCCCTTGCACCCCTCGACCCCCACCACACACACACACACACACACACACACACACACACACACACACACACACACACACACACACACACACACACACACACACACACACACACACACACACGCATGCATGTTCAACACACATGCATATTCACATCTGAACACATACATCTTCATCAGCTTCACATGCTATATGCTGACCTTTCAGCCTTCGCGCCATTGTCCTGCACACACGTCTGCCGTCATCATAATCGCCTGCGTTTTGTAGACGTGGCCGTGGCCGAGGGCGTTGGCGGTGAGGATCAGCTGATTATGGTGCGCAAACGAAACAAGGCGCGAACAATTCGCGGGAAAAAGCACGGCGTGCGGAAGACACTGCAACAGCTCAAGAGCACATACGATCTGCTCTCCTCCACTGAACTTTCGCGCCTCTTCGACGTGAGTGTGCGCATCTGAGCCTTCGCTGCTCGATTGCTTACTATTGCGTGTGTGTGTGTGTGTGTGTGTGTGTGTGTGTGTGTGTGTGTGTGTGTGTGTGTGTGTGTGTGTGAGGGCGGATTGCTCTTGAACCTCCTGCCCTTCTCCACTCTTTCAGCGCTCACGAGAAACGCTGTCTTGTGTGCTGCTTTGCTGTTTGAAGGAGGAGAGCAAAACCAAACGCGTTGTGCTCTATGTCACAAACACAACAGCGATTCGTGACACTTTCCAAGCCTGCGAGGAAATCAAGGCGGTGGGTTCGTGATCGTGCACATATTTTCTCGCTTGTATGCGCGCGCGCGCGTGTGTGTGAGTGTGTGCGTGCATGTGTGTGCGAAGCATGAACACATACAGTCTGCTGCATCACATCTAACGCGTCTGTAAGAATGTGTGCATGGCTGCCAACAGCTCTTCTACAACCTTCGTGTTCGCGTCGACCTTCGAAACATCGCCATGGACAAACAGGTAGCGCATCGCGCGTCTGAGTTTTACCTGTGCACTCAACAGTGTCCTCTCACACCGCACCATCAAGAATGTATGCTGCGAATTCACATTCTGTACATGCAACCATGCAAACAATTACACACTTGTTCACACGCATTTACCTCCTCGACGCATGCAATTGTTTGTGTGTGTGTGTGTGTGTGTGTGTGTGTGTGTGTGTGTGTGATAGGCGAGAAGCGAGTTAGAGCGCCGGTTGCCCGGTGCTGTTGTTCCGCAAGCGTTTCTGGAAGGCAGACATCTTGGGGTAGGGCAGAGAACGGAATGTGTCACGCAAGCATGTCTGTGTGTGTGTGTGCGTCTATGTGTGGAACGTTCTTAAAATGTCACTTGAACATTCTTGGCGATGCTCATTACGCACATGCATGCACACACACATGCACACACAACACGTTTTCGTGTGGTGTCGACCTCAGGATGCGAAGGCGTTGAAGGAGATGAACGAGACAGGTGCGCTGCGGCGGCGGCTGGCGGACTGCGAGGAGCGACCACTCACAGATTGCACAACCTGCGGTGGACAGGGCTACATCCTGTGCACCTGGTGTCAAGGTGAGCGGATGAGATGTTCGAATGCTTGTTTTGATTTGATGGTGATGTGGATGGACGGTGTAGGGTCGTCGTGTTGTGCCCTTGTGGATGCTGTGCATTTGTCTGTTGCTGCTGTGTCTTGCCTGCCGTTGCATGCCTAACTCAGGCGCATTGTTCTCACCGTCACGCACAGGTTCGAAGCGCAGTCTGCTGCACGGCTTTGGGGAATCCACCAAGGAAGAGTGGCTCAAGTGCTCCGTGTGCAACGAAAACGCTCTCCAGGTGTGTGTGTGTGTGTGTGTGTGTTTGGACTGCGGCGGTCGTGTGGCAAACCAAGCCAAGAGGAAGCAGTGGATCACGTTTACTTTCGGGTGTGAATCAGTGCTGTCATGCTCGTTCGTGACTCCGCTTGCCACCCAACACCATCTATCAACACGCACACAACTCAAACGTGCACTGAAATATGCAAACATGTGCTTAGCGCTGTCCCGACTGCTGAACCGGTCGCGGTCACCTCAGTTCACACCCAAGATCTGCAAGACGCGAGCGGACAGACTGCTGCCACTGCCAAGCTGTTGTATGTGTGTGTGCGTTTGGGTGTACGTTTGTTATGAGCAAGAATAATCGACAAGCAAACCATGGATATGCAAGCATTCGTTGCGCGAAACACCCACCCACTCACACACACACACACACACATACACACCCACACAGACACACAGACACATACACACACACGCATGTGCTACCTGTGTCTTCGCTGACGGCCGTGTCACAGCCTTGGTAGACGAGGCGATAACAGAAACTGCGCGCACGTGTGTGCGGATGCTGAAAGCGGTCAACACACGCACACGACTGGCGCCACGCAGCAAGCCGACACGCAAATTGCACAACATTGTTGTGAGCAGACATGTGATATCTGTTTTGTCGCACGCACATTGCCACTGCACGTGTGTTGCAACAAGGGGACACGATGTGGCACGCGTGCGGTACGGCCGTGCGCTCGGTTGTCAAATGCAGGAGTCGTCATCACCACAGCTCACAGGACACACACACACACACACACACACACACACACACACACACACACACACACACACACACACACACACACACACATACATACGCATTCGGTCTCACCGCAAGCGCCTCGCCGGCCACTGAATCTGTGATCGTTTGCACATGTGCCAACCACTGCTGCTCCAGACCATCATCATCATCATCATCATCATCATCATCATCATCACCATCAATATTATCCACATTGTCACCAGCATCAAGTGCGGGCACCCAGAAGCTGACGTCGTGTGTCCAAGCTGGCGAATCAAGGCACGCACCACACCCTGCGCCGGATGCAGGCAGTGCATCCATGTCAACGTCACCACTAGTCGCCACCACGCTAGCGACATCGTCGTTGCCACCGCCATCATCATCATCATGATCATCGTCGTCACTGGCGCGGCAGTGGTGCAAGTGCGCAGCTTTGATCTGCTCCCTTGTTGCCAGTACACACACACGAGCGAGTGGGTGGGGAGCACCACCCAGCGTGTGCAGCAGCAGCCAGTCTCGCGTGTGCACACAGCGGTCGTCTTCGACACCAAACCATTCGCAGAGGAGTTGCGTCACGTCGATCAGGGCAACTGTGGTGGTGGGCGATTCCAATGACGAAGGCCTGCTCTCCGTCGACCCGACTCCCCGTGTACACATCACCGCTGTCGCAGATACGTCGTCACCATCACCATCACCATCGTCCGTGCTTGTGTCTGGGTTGTGCTTCAGACTGCCTGCCGCGTTCAGAGTTGGAACACGCTGTAACAGTTGCTCCTCCACCTCCTGATGCACACACGCACATGAGCACGAAGTGAGAAAGCGATGCGGTGGGCTGTGCGCGTGCGTGCGTGCATTGTTGCTGCTGCTGCTGCTGTTGTTGTTGTTGTTGTTGCTGTTGTTGTTGTTGTTGTTGTTGTTGCTGTTGTTGTTGTTGTTGTTGCTGTTGTTGTTGTTGTTGTTGTTGTTGTTGTTGTTGTTGTTGTTGCTGTTGTTGTTGTTGTTGTTCACACACACACACTCTCAGACAGTACCACAGCACACACGCACACGCACATGCACTGAGCGTTTGCAATACCCTGAGGGCGTGTGTGATTTCAGTGGCTGCGCTTGCAATGGGCGCTTTCCTGTTCATGACGCGCGCCAGACAGAGCACATGCGTGTATGTGTATGTGTGAATGCAAGTTTGTGTATGTGGATGACAAGATAAGAGCGTGAGGCGAACAGGGACTGAAGGAAGAGGTGTTCGCACACATATGCACACACACATATATATTTGCACTCACCCAGCAAAGAGGGGTTGGTCTGGTTGGGTAACGTTGAGCACGGTCATCTGCATTTCGTGGATTGATGGAGTGAGGTGAGCTGTGTTCGCACATGGCAGCCAAACAGAACAGCAGACAGCATACACATCCACCACCCCACCCCATCCCCCCCCCACACACGCACACCTAACCTTTGTGTCAGGGGTAGGGTGCCAGCAGTGCTGGAAGAGAGAGATGACGAGGCGAACGAGCGGGAGCGCAGAGGCGCGCGCATATGATTCGTCGTGCGCTGGTTCGAAATGGGGTGACGACTCGAGTGATGGGGCTTGCAGGGAGACGGGGAAGCTGTTATGGTCAATTCCATCATGTCTTTGGCCGTCGTCCTTGATCGGAGGCGGGTTGTGCGTGAAGAAGAGTGTTGTTGCACCGTCTGTGCGAAACGTGCGTGCCTGTCAACACCATTGCGTGCACACACAAACAAACAAACAAACAAACAAACAAACAAACAAACAAACAAACAAACAACACGTAGCTGAGTCATGGGGACAGTGATGGGCGTTGCTTCAATCTCCTTGTGGGGCAACCAACCGCGTTGCAAAGAAGCAATGTGAACATCGAACACAACTCTCCCATTGCACACAAAGGTTTCTTTGGCCTCAGGAGAAGCCAGGGCCACTCCGCCAGCAAGCTCGACAGCAATGCAGGAAACACAACGCAGTATGCAGGCACTGGTACACCGCCATCAAGAAGCTATGTACCGTGCTGCGGCGACCGGAGCAGGTGTAGTGCTTGAATTCGTGAGCGAGAAACGGACGAGCACCCACGAGCCGAAACTCGCTCGTGGCAGCCAGCTTGATGGATCAAAGGTAATTGCAAAGTTGTCGCCAGGCAGAGCAAGTAGGGCGAGTGTTGTGGGCACTGATTGTGAGACGGGAACATTATAAGGCAGTACTTGTGTTCTGGAAGAGAGTATAAAGTAGACAGGTGCATGAGCAGCGAGCGGCGTTCTGACATGAAAACAAAAGTGACTGTGCCGCCGTGTCCCCCTCTGTCTCAATCCATCAGTCTCAGTCTCTGTCTCCGTCTCTGTCAGGCTCTTTCTCTGTCTCCGTCTCTGTCTCCGTTTCTGTCCCTCTCTTTCTCTCTGTCTCTGTCTGTGCGTGTCAGTCTCTGTCCCTCTGGCTCTGTCTGCCTCGTTCTGTCTCTCTGTAAATACAAAGCAAACATTGCTCACCTCGACTGCTTGCCAGTGATCGCCTTTTCTTGGACGCTTGATGGCGTCGAAGGACGTACCGCCCTGACCAACAGCCAGGGTGAGGCAGATGACGCCTCGTGGGGCGAGACAGCATTTGGCGCTGGCGAAGAACCCGCAAAGCAAGTCGCGGTTGTGGCCGATGGGACACTTCCCACCCACGTGGGGAAACGTGAACACAATTTCGTCAAATACATCGTGGCCCGCAGCCTGTGTGTCCAGCGTGCTGGCGATGTTGGTGGCATCTACACCAGTCTGCACGTTGACCAGCTCGGGCATGGCACGAAGTGCAAGGAGATGGGTGACACTGTCCGGGTGACGATCCAACAGCATGTCCTCGGTATCGTACGTCGTGGCCACAATCTTCGCAGGCTGGCTACTTTCAGCAGCAGCGTCTAACAAGCGCGTGGCCACAGAGTGGGCGAACGACAAGTTGCCGTCACCCAAGATCAAAACGCGATGGTTCTCGTTGCCACCTAGCTGCGTTTTGTGTGTCGAGTTTTGCTGTTGCTGTTGCTTCTGCGTTTGCTGTTGCTGTTGGCGCTGTTGTTGTTGCTGCACACCACGAGCAGCTTCATGGCGCCCATCTGCACCTTCGGTGTCGCTGTCTCCGCCGCCATCGCTGTCGTAGCAGCACAGCAACCCCTGCTGTGCGAAGCACACAGTGTCGAGCTTCATGCTGCCACCAGTCATCATGCTCCGTGCAGTGAACGGCTTTTGTTTAAAGATACCGCGAATGTTCATAACTTGCAGTGGCCCTTCACAACACCAAGAAGAGTAGTCACGGGTTGCCAAGAGCCAGCGAGAGCAGCGAAGATGGCTGAGACAGAGGGCGCTAATGTTGGTGCTGATGTTGGTGTTGATGTTGGTGTTGATGTTGGTGTTGTTGGTGGCGGTGCGGGCACGGAAGCAGAAGACCAACAGCAGCAGCAGCAGCAGCAGCAGGAAAAGGAGCAAAGCCGTGGCGGGAGTGCGTTGCGGCCAAAGGACAGTGCATTAGCGGAAGGAGCGACAGAGGAGGGAGATGATGAGGGAGGAGCCACCGAAAGGCCCGAACACGATGTACGAGATGAAGATGGTGAAGCGGAGCCAGAGAGAGAAGAACATGCTGAGGCAGGAGAGGGAGGAGACCAAACCGAAGGCACTGCCAAGGAAGGAGACGAGGAAAATGACCGAGGCGAGGGGGATGAGAGAGGGGAGAGCGATGACGATGATGATGAGGAGAACGAGCAAGGGGAGGCAGAAGAGGAACACGACGACGATGAGGAGGAGGAGGAGGAGTGGCTTGATCCATTTCCGGATCTGGATGTTGACGAGTTGGAACAACGCGTGTTTGAACAACAGTACGTCGCGGTTGCGAAGTGATACTTAAGCGCACATATGCGTGTGTGCGTGTGTGTGTGTGCGTGTGTGTGCGTGTGTGTGCGTACGTCGACGTTTGCTCGTGGTTTTGCACGTGTCTACTTCTCTCTGTGTGTTGTCATGTGTGTGTGTGTGTCCCACCTTGTGCACCGCAAGGAGCCTCAAGTATTGGTTTGCTCACCCACCAACGCACGCGATGCGCTGCTCACAGGGAAGCGAATGAGACGCTGAGACTGGAGACGGAGTGCTTGCAACGCTATTTTGACAGGCAACAGGCGGACGCAGTTGAGACAGGTACTTAGAGAGCAAATGAAGGAGGTGGGGAGCACGTCACACGCGCGCCTGCCATCAACTTTACACAGCACGCGTTGCAACTTTCTCACGTGTGTTGCTGCCGTGACTGCTGCTACTGCTGCCGCTGTGATCACAGATGACGAGGATGCGCAGGAGACGGTGCAAGTGAAGGAGCGCACAACACGGCGACGGTCGCGGTCGATGCGCTCGAGTGCGCGCAGCGCTGCTTCCACAGCACCGACTGTGCTCACAGATGTCCAGAAGAGCGATATTGCACAGCGGGATCTCGACTATCTCCGCGCCCAACTCAAACAGTCAGTGTCATGTCACAACAAACACAGGAGGTTGCGAGAGAGAGAGAGAGAGAGAGAGAGAGAGAGAGAGAGAGAGAGAGAGAGAGAGAGAGAGTGTAGTGGTGTGTGTGTGTGTGTGTGTGTTTTGAGATAATGACATCCGGACAGACTCTGTAGACACAAGTCCATGCTAACGAGGGGACGTGGCGCATAGATGGGTGACCTGTCAGATATACTACTACGATCAGAGCAATGCCAAACCGGTTATTTATCCACACATCGCGCCAAGTCTCTCTTATTCGTAAGAATCCTAACAGCGTCGCCTAATTAAAGATTGGGAACCACTCGTACAGAAACTGGCTCGGAACCCGATCGGAAAGCCTCGACGCTAGAAGAGGTCCACACCCCGTTTGGATGCCGGTAAGTAAAGTCGTGTGGCGAATGTGCTTCGCCATCGCATTAGGAGAGAGAGAGAGAGAGAGAGAGAGAGAGAGAGAGTGTGTGTGTGTGTGTGTGTGTGTGTGTGTTCGTACCGCGGTGGATTTTTGTGTGTCCATTGTGCTCCTTTGACTATGAGCTTGAAGTATATTCCAGATAGCGCCTTCACAGCCACCCCGTGTCTCAACCCACAAACACATGCAAATCCACTCACATTACCTTGCTGTCATGTGCTGTTGTTTGCTACTTATCTGTGCAGGTTCAAAGAGGAGTCGCTACAGAAGGTGCACACGCTGCAGGCTGTGATTGCGGAATCAGAAGTTCGCCTGATGGAGATTCCAAAGCTGGAAATGCTCTTTGACGACGAAGTCACACGCAGCGCAGAACTCTCGGTGCGCATGTATACACGTGTGCATATATATGTGTGTGCGTGCTGTTGTACATGTGTGTGCGTGCGTGCGTGCTCTTGTGCATATGCTTGTGTGTGTGTGTGTGTGTGCTGTTGTACATGTGTGCGTGTGTGTTCTTGGAACATGTGTACGTGCACACATATATGTCTGTACATGCACACTCAAGCGCAGTGTATCGATCATCCAACCGACTTGACTTGTTCGTGCTGCCCATGCTGTGGGGATAGCTCTGTCCGACCCACGAGCGGCACACGGTGCTCTTTCCGAACAATACACTCACACGCCCATGCATGCATGCATGTGTATGTGTGATTGCAGCGGTCTGGAAAAGTGGAGACGGATGCTCTTCGCGCCTTCTATCGCCGGCGAATGAAGGTTCGTGTCGCCAACATTCTCTCACGCACGCACACGTGGTCGAGTTGCCTTTTCTCATCTTTTCTCTGCTGCCGCCGAACGTGTGCCGCGCATCTTCATCATTGGCCACATGTATTCTCATGACGTCATTCCCTCCGTGTTCCCACCACTGCCACCACCCACCATCACCTCAGCAATGCGAAACGCTGAAGGACAAGCTGAACGTGAAGAACCAGACGATGCGGGCGCACAAGCAGCGCGCGGTGTCGCAGCTCAAGGCCAAGGACGAGATTGGCGGACACCTGCACCAGGTCGACTTTGAGCAGCTGAAGATTGAGAATGAGCAGTTCTCCGTTGACATTGATAAGCGCAACAAAGAGCTGTCCAAACTCAAGTCGGCCGCAGGCAGGACGAACCAGACGCTGGAGAAGTTCAAGGTGGGCATTCACACGCACGCACGCACGCACGAGTGGGAGAAGCGATCGTTGTGTGATGTGATGTGTGTGTGTGCGTGTGTTTGGAAGAAGGGGCGAGGGGTCAGTTGCGCTCCATCGAGCATTCTGCTTCATTCCTGCGGCTGTACTCTGTTGTCGTGGTCCTGTCATTGCCACTATCGCCACTATCAATCTCACCACCACCACTATCACCACCATCACTATCACCACCATCACTATCACCATCACTATCACCACCATCACCACCGCCAGGACCGGCTGCGGGTGCTGCAAGCGGAGTCTGACCGCGTGGCTGTGGAGATTTCGAGTCGTGAGGATCTCATTCGTCGCATAGCAGCAGAGCGCCAACGCGTCGACAGCGCACACGCAAAGCTCAAGGCACGCAGCAACAGTCTCTCCCAGCAGGTATGTGTGTGTATGTGTGTGCGTGTGTATGTGTGTGTGTGTGCATGCGTGTTCGCATGTGTTCCAAGTTGGCTCATGCACTCGCTGTGTTTGGGCATCCACTCCCACCTCCTCCTTTCGACATCTCTCCTCCATCCCACTGCTCTCATCCCCCATGTCAATCCATTGTCTGTCACTGGGGTGCAGCTTGAAGACCACCGCGTGCCGGAGGTGCTTGATCTGGTGAAGCAGCAGGCAACAATGCCAAAGCTCCAGCAGACCGTTCGCACAATGGAGCGCAAACTCGACCTCGCTCAGGTGTGTGTGTGTGTGTGTGTGTGCGTGTGTGTATGCTTGTGCTGTTTGCGCGCGCGCGTGTGTGCGCGTATGTGCTGTTTGCTTGTGTGTGTGTGTGTGTGTGCTGGCTGTTGGCATGTGTGCGTATGTGCTGTTTGCGTGTGTGTGTGTGTGTGTGCTGGTTGTTGGCGTGTGCGTGCGAGTAAGTGTTGCATGTATGTATCCGCCTCTGTGTTTGTATCCGCTCTTTTCCTCTGTTTGCTTGTCCGTCTTCCAGCCATGTGTTCGCACATTTCACTGTGACCTGCACATCACATGCCTCGTCTCATCATCAACACCTCGCATCCACATTGCCGCCACCGGTGCAGATGGAGTTTGACCACACCCGGCGCTCCCTCCGCTCAACGCGCCGCCTGACCGCAACGAGAAAGTAGCAAACATGTGTGTGTGTGTGTGTGTGTGTGTGTGTGTGTGTGTGTGTGTGTGTGTGTGTGTGTGTGTGTGTGGCTCTTTGTCTCTGTCTCTATCTCTGTCTTTCCTTCTCCTTCTCCCTACCCCTCTCTCGTTGATTGTGTTCTCGGGAGTTGTGGTGTTGTGTTCCACTGTTCGTTTACGTTGCACATATTGTGTGGTGAAAGGAGCGAGAGCGTAACTGTCCAGCAATGCACATCAACAACAACAAATACAAACAACAGCCACTTAACTTAAAACCGCAGCCACCCATTGTGTCGTGTCACAAAATGCACACACAGACAGACAGGCAGACACAGACACAGACACAGACCAACACAGACACAGACAGACAGACAGACAGACAGACAGACACACACGCACGCACGCACGCACACACACACACACACACACACACACACACACACACACACACACACACACACACACACACACACACAC